ATTAACTAAGGAGAAAAAAAAAAAGACTAAGTTCTATGTAAATAAAATTTCAATTGACTTCACGTCCAAAATAAAGCATTTATCAAAGGAAAATCTGCTAAGCTATAGAGCACAACAGGAGGACAAAGAATTTAAGGGGAGATGGTAAAACTTGGACTTCAGAATTAAAGACACAGAATGAGAGAAGATCACCAACAACCTCGCTGAACACAGGAAGGATGCAAATTAAATAGAGGCACAGAACTGAATTTAAATGGAGCACAGAGAGGTAATATTCAGCATTATGTAGTTCTGCTTTATGGCAGTTTAATAAAACCTCACAAACACTGTTTTTCACACAACAAAGTTACAGAATCAAGTGGACGTGATCATTTTAGCCACAAGAAAAGAATGATATGACTCAAACTAGTGCTCTCTGTAAGCAGAGCACTCTCCAAGGAAGGGAGGAAAAAAGTCTTGCTACTTTCAAATACATGGCAGAAAGGTGTGACAGGTCCCAACAAGCAGAACTGCACAGGGTACAGTGACATGAAAAAAAATCTATTAAATTATGACTTTCAGAATTAAAAAAATAAATGTTTCCAGACCAAAAGGGGAAAAAAAATCCTCTTAACTCCTAAATGTAGTTAATTCGTGAAGTTCAGGGGTGGGAGGGAAGCAGCCAATGCCTTTGGCCTAGAGCTGTGCCCTAAAGAAAGCAGCTCAGTTCTCATTCATCTGCAGCTTTCTCCAATTCCTTGGCCAATTGTGCAATATTTGTTTCAGCTCTCCCAGGGCAGGTGAACAGGTCTGTGAGCCACCAGCTCCCCGTGCCAGCCAGGAATTGTTCAATTCACTCAATCCCCTCAACTATCTTAGAGTCACATTAACCATCAAAGATATGCAGAATTCAGGCAGTTGGTGAACACAGGCAGATAATCAACAGATAAAAATGGCTTTAGGCACTGCTGCTCTTGATCTAAAGCCAAGCTACAGAATATGCCAAAAATCTGCTTTAGAGATGCAAAACAGTGAGAATTGCTCATTGAAGAAATGCAAATGTATATTCATGTTCTCTCACACGCCCAGGTATCCTACCTGTTTGAGACAGAGGATTGTAATTTCACAACAAACAGAAAGGGGTTCGTTGTGACACTGCTACTGATCCACCTCCCAGTGAGCCAGAGAAAACAAAAGGAAATGTTCTTTATTTCTATTTCACACATTCTCGCTCCAGCTGTTTTCCCACTGAGGAAGGGGACAGTGAGGAAAAGTTTAGTTATTTTATAAGCTCTTAAATTTTACTCAGTGTCTTCAAGATCATTCCCAGGTCCAGTGATTCTCCTTCAGCATGCCCAAAGCAGAGACCGCTGGAAGCATCCAGCAATGAGGCAACCAGGGAGCAGATCCAACTGACATCCCCTCTCTCCTTGAAACAAAAATCTTTGAGGTAACACAAAATCAGAGGGTAACGCTGTTGATATTAAATAACAGAATTAATGAGAGGCAGAGTGAAAGACTGCACAGTGTGTGCGGTTTGGGAAATAATTTCCTGGGCTACTCCAAACTTAGAAAGTTGTTCTGTAGAACACCAGTACATACACCAGGTTGGAGCTCCAGGAGAGCACAGACTAAGATATGAAGGCATGATTTTTTCAGAATTAAGGGAAATAGAAGCTTGAATCTTCCTATTAATTAGCTGCCAACAAAGCATACATGTTTGGTGGTTGGTGAATAAGCAACACCTGGCTTATCATGGATAAATGGGACAGATGCAGCTTCTAGGGATAAACAAAACCAGAATGATGTCCCTGAGCTTCACAACTGCTAAAAGTAGGGATTTGCACTGAGCTTGATATTTCTTAAGCAGAATTTAAGAATTTGTAGCATAAATACACAGAGTCTCAAAAACTTGTGTCTTCTAAGAGTGTCTATTTACAGAATTCATGTCAGGGGGTCTTGGAGATGATGTAAAGTAGTCACCAGAGGACAAGGTGACAGCAGTTGTGCTTCAACAAAAAGCACAATGCATTAGTGATTTGTATTTTGAGATCCAAAATCCTCCACTCTGAACATTTCCAAGGTCAGAACAGTTCCACCCTCAAGCCTTATTTTTAAAAAGTGTCCCAGATAAGAGCAGCTTAAGAGAATAGAAATGAACTCACTCTTTAAAGCACAATTAAGGAGTCTCTGATCCAGGAAATGAGACACAAACACTGCTGCTGTTACCTCAGTGTTCCAGCACCTGAACCTGGGGCAAGCTTCTTGCTTTTTCAGAGATGGAGACACAGGTTTCTTTAAAGAATAATTTGTTGGGAAGATCCCAGAGGCATCGGATATCTTCGGTTCTGCTGTTTAGTAACCAGGCTTCAAATCAGAGCAAGGCAATTTGCATTTAAGAGTAACACAAAAGAGGAAGAACCTAAGGGATTAATTAGAACCTGGGAGATTTCTCTTGGTGGGCAAAGTTGGAGACTTTTCCTACCTGTTGATCAAAAATAACAACAGCAGACTGAAGCCTACAATAGGCTGATCTTCAAATCTGACTCCCAGTAACAATCAGCAGGACTAGGATTAGGGATAAAATTTCTGAAAGTATACTGAGACTGCATAAAGTTAAAAATCCCGGTCAGGAGAAGTTGCAAAACAGTGGAAAGTGCAAATTCTGCAAATTAGAATTTCAGGAACAAACCAAAAAAGCTCACTGCTTCACAGGCATTTCTCAACCTTCTGCTTTTTGTTTTATTTTTTTTTTTCCCCCTCCACCTACTCTGGTTTATCAGACTGATTGAAGCCAGGCCAGAACTTCAAACACAGAACAAAACTTCATTCAAACATCCTCAAACATCTTCCAAGGCCAGAAAATTGAATGACATGATTATCCTGAGGACAGCAGAGATCATTCTTTAAGAACAGAAGTCCACCCTGCCACTGGTCAGTAGATTTGTGACCAGGCCAACTTTTCTCAAAGCTGTTGAGGGGCTCTGGGCCAAACTGATCTATTTGCTCACTAGGAACAGGTGGATGTGCTCCCCTTTCTCCTTCAGACCTTTGAATTAGAATTCTCTAAAATCCAACGTTAACCAGCAGGTTACACCTCACACAGGCACCCCACACATTTTCTGTACCTGTAACATGAAAAATGTGCTGGCTCTGGTGGAAATAGTGTTAATTCTGACCATGCCAGCCCTCCCAGTGCTGTGTGCTGGTAACACACCAGTGCTCTCAGCCCTCCTCCCAAGGCTCTCTCCAACTTTTTCCCTCTCCACAAGGCTGAGGGTGGGCAAGGCAGTCAGATCCAAACTGAACAAAGGACTGCTCCTTTTGCTTTTAATAAAAAATAAATTTTTTTGACCCACAGGTTTTTTCCACCTTCCCTGTCTCCTACCACCCCATCCTTCTGAAGAGTGACAGAACCCAGCCAAGGCAGGGCCACCACAAATACCAGACTGAAACAGGACCATAAATTCCCCTGAATTTGGAACATGGCAGTAACAGGTTTGTGATGCTTAGAACAGATCATAAAGGCCCTTCAGTCTGCTCAGGTCCTCTTTATTACTGGTTTGATTGTCATTTAATAGCTCATACTGAGGATTGTTGGGTACTAAAGGATAACAGAATATAAAGAAACAGTTGAAGTACTTCCTAAAAAGACTACAAACTGTTTAGTTGAATTTAGTCTAATTAAAAAAGTTTTAATTTACATCTATAGAAGCCATATAAGCAAGAAATATGATAGCTCTTAGCACTGATTTCCATAAAACCAGCATACTGGATCAACCTGCCTTTCTGGTTTTTTGGCATCTGACTGCAGAATTACATTAACTGATAGATATCAGAACAAAAACAACTTTGGATTTATCATTTTATTGTGTTTGTAATGTGAGTTAGGTTAACTGCTACTCAGGTACTGTTAAAGCTACAATTTAATAAATCCCACTGTAAGGATGATCAGATTTCAGAAGAGCCCTAAAACAGGTGGTGTGATGAGCAGGTACACATCCCACCACTAAGCAGCAGGTTGTTTGGCAGACATCCCTCAGCCAAAAAAAGTGTCTTTTGGAGTGCAAAAAGTTCAAAAGGTGTTTAGTTGAGAGAGAGCAATAATCCTAAAACTGTGTGTTTTGTTCAGATACCTGCAGGAAACACCCTCATGACAGATCAAGTCAATCAACCTCCCCTTTCCAGAAACCTCTGGCACACTGAAGTAAGTATCACAAGAGAAAATGTCAGAGATGTGGAAACAATAAGGCTGATTTTGCTGACAAAACAAACTCAGTTTTTAAGTTTATAAAGGAATATATTTGTCAGTAGTATCGACAAATAAGTTAACTGCCATAGTTATTTTTTTAAAATATATATATTTTTATATATATATATACATACAATCTTTGGATAAGTAGAACACATGCACAAACTCCCTCTAAAGAATACTGACCCTAATCCACGAAAATCATATAAAACCAAAATCATATAGATCAGAGAAAAACTCTCTCACAGAATACTCCTGACAGTTTATTTCACAGGAATAAAAAATGGAATTCTAATAATGTTTCATTTTATAGGCAGACAGAGAGAGAAACATCAGCTGAACTCTAGGCCAGTTGATCACTGGTAACAACCCCTACATTCCCTATGGTTTACAGTTCCTTAATTATTAAAAGCAGATAAACCATAGCTGTAGCCAATCCTTTGCAGCTTTTCACATGACTTGGAAAAGCCACATAAAAAAGGCATTCTCCTTTAGATTACAGACATTAGCCAAACCTATATACTTATTTGCAAAAGAGTATCACTGTTGTAATGAGATCTGGTTTTCTGAAGAGAGAAAATAAAAGCAAGAAAAGAAGTTCAATCAAAGCTCCCATTCAGTGCAAGGATTAAAAATAAAGGAAAAGAATACACTGGTTATTGCTTTGCCTCCCCCAGCCCCACTGTGAAATTTTCATATCCTTTTAAAGATGTATCCGGAACTCTGTCAAAGAAAAACCCAGAAATACACACAAGGAAAAAGTACTCACACTGTTTGGGTGTTGAATGGCAACTTGGTGCTGCAGCCTAACCCGCTGTGGCATCATCACATCATCCTGGAATAAATAGCACACTGTTACTGAACATAAAAAGGGTCACAGAACACTACTGACACACATTAGAATATGTTGCTAAATGAACATCATTTTACTGGCTGGCAGTCAGAAATGCAAATGGAACAGATATGAGGAGACTTCACACTTTTTGTGGATTGAACTGGATGCTGTTGGAGCTGGAAGTGATCAAAACTACTACGTGACAGTGGTGCTGTGATCTCACCACACATCCACAGCACCCACACATTGCACATTTATCTCTCAAGAAACTCTCCAACTCTTTCCCAACTGCCCCAGCAGCACTGGCAGTGTGAGGACAAGGAACTACCCTCAGTTAAAGCAGCAATGAGAGGAAATGCTCTCTGCAATCTGGCTCTACCTTGTTCCACTGAAAATGAAAAGCCTTTGGTCTCTAGATCTAAAAATATGTCATATTTCATGGGCACAAAAAACTAGTACTGGTGAAATGAGAAAATTCTAAGGAAAAGGAAAAAGGAAGTACCCACACTCACAGAATGCATCAGCATTGACACTGGCTTTAAGACACACCATCTGATTTAAATTTTGTGTTACTACTTCTTCTACTGGTAGCACAAAGATCTGTTCAATTTACATACAAAAGGATAGGTTGTTTTGTGAAAGGTCAGTAACTTTGCTATCCTGCCTTTAATTGTTAAGAGATATTCCTTTCAAAATTATAATATTTCCTGTTCAAAATTAAATCCTTTCTAGACAGTGATTTCACAGTTTATAGAAACTTCAGCACAATTTTTCTTTCCTAAATTTTTTAGGCCCCTAAGGTTTCTACCTATATTCTTTTCCATGTTGGTGCCATATTTCCCCCCTTTTAAAGAATCAACCTTTTTTAGATACTTGTTAAAGCTAACACAGCCTATTTCTTCTCAGAGTATTTCCAAATAAACTTAATCAGGCAAATATAATTCAAAGGAGCCCTGAATTCCTGTTCTACAGACACCCTTTTAACAGTTCCTCACACTGAAATAATTCTGATTTTCCTATTAAAGCACAAACCCTCAATATTGAATTTCCAACCACTTTCACATTAAAACTTTCCAACAAGTCAACAGCAACAAAAAAAAATATTAGTGCTTAAATATCTTCAGCTTGAAGAGCTGAATGACCTTGCTATAAAGGTGCCCCTATAGTTTTATCAAAACATGCATGATAAAAAAAGTTTCAGAAGTAGATCCAACTGTTTAATACAATTCAAGGTTAAAGATAAAACAAAATAATAATAAAACTGACTCTTATCACATATAAGTTTATAAAAGATGGGAGGACTACATTGCCAAAAGCATTTTGCACTTAGGATATGTTTAGTAATAAACATGACAGCTGTTCCTGATTTTCAAAGCCAATAGAGCAAAAAAACCCTTCAGATTTCCCATGACTTCAAAACTATGACAATATTATTTATCACCTCATCCACTTTATCCATAGAGCACCAGACTTCCAGTATCAAGAAAGTGTTCCCATAAAACCTTCACCCTATTTCCCACAAGAAAAATCATAATTCTATTTCTTTATGCCAAACACAGAGCTGATTTTTGTGAATTAAAACCTGGTTTTCATACAAGCAATAGCAGATATATTTTAACTGAACTGTGTTCACTCCTTTACAAGTTGCTAAGGAGCCTTAGATGTTTTCTTGGTAAATCCAAATGAAGGGGGGAAAAAGGGGAAAAGGGGGAAAAAGGGGAAAAAAAGGGAAAAGGGAGGAAAAAGGAGGAAAAAGGGGGAAAAGGGGGGAAAAGGGAAAAGGGGGGAAAAGGGAAAAAGGGGGGAAAAGTGAAAAGGGAGGAAAAAGGAGGAAAAAGGGGAAGAAGGGGGGAAAAGGGGGGGGGGGGGGAAGAGATAAAAAAGGGGAAAAAGGGGAAATCTACCAAAAAGGCAGGAATTTCAATGCTCAGAACAATGTTACCCTCATTGTTTACAATACAAAACATTTGCTCTTGTGCTAAAAGATCTCACTGTTCATGATCTCACACAAGAGAGAACTCTCACATTCACAAAGATGAAAAATAATATACTTGATTGAAAAAGGTTAAATCAGCATGGAAAGCATTCAAACCAAATCAAAATAACCTATGCACCAAAGAGGTCGGTGTCATGTTTTCACAACCACCCAGTTTGACAGGAATGGCCCCATTCCCCTAAGAAAACACCGGGGCAGTTCGATGCTATTGGCAAAACTCACAGATCTGGGGCTTAGGCTATCAGAGAGCATCAGAATTCTGTAAACTCCAGCTAAAGAGGGGGCACTATAACCACAAAAACTTCTAAATGCCTCTTTTTATTAATACAGCTTTGTTCTCTAATGCTGGAAAACTCTATGAACTCTTACCCTGCATGACCTGTATTTCTTTTAATAATTCTGTCTCATTTTTTTATTGGCAGCTTTACACACACACTGCACTGGATGGTTCTGTGAGACCTTCTGAGTTCATGGAAGGAGAAAGAAAGATGGGGGAAAAAGAACAGAATAGTTTAGGACATAATCCTAAATCCTACAATAATGAGCAATATAATAAAACTATATTTAGTATATACTAATACTATATATAACACTATATATAATACTACTACTAATAAATAATACTATATAATACTATATATAATAAATATAATAGTTTAGGGCATAATCCCAAATACTATAATAATGATTATTATAATAATACCATATACAGTATATACTAATTCTATATATAATACGAATGAGTAATATAATAATACTATAACATGAGCACAAAATGTAAATCACATCGCAGACAGAAACGAGATTCAGCCATCATTCAGCTTTTTTGGATTCAGGCTGGTATGAGAAAAGTATCTGCAAAATCCAACTTTGACAGACTCTTCACTACGTGTGATTGGAAAGTTTTATTTATTTATTTATAATGTATTTATAGTGAAATGTAAATGCATTTATAGTGAAATAATCTTTATGAATGCATTTATAGTGAAATAATCTTAGGGAACTCAGATGGATTTAAAATTGGTATTTTAAAACCAAAATAAATCCAAAGTGATTGTACCACAAATTAGAAGCACCTTAAAAATTATGGAATTTTAGCAACTATAGTATTAAACAGTTAAGAGGGTAAAATATTTACCCAACAGTACACAATGAATCACAAATTTTCTATCAAAGCTATTGACATTGAATTCAGAAAATGTGTTGCCAGACTTTGGTTTCTACAGGCAGAGTTTGGTCATCACTTGTTTTTTTTTTCTAGTTTAACACTGAGAATAAAACCTCAGTAATCAGGCAAACACTTTCCAAATTATTTTTCACTCATTTCAGACAGAAAAAAAAAAGAGCCTATACAAAAAAGGGAAGTATATTTAGTTTGTTTCTGTTTCCTAGGTGAGGGTAGGGAAGATAACAACAGTAGCAGTGACTTATACTGAAAAATAATTTTAACAAAACAGAAGTTTACAATAAAATCCAATTTTCTCTGTTCACATGGAAGTATCTAATGGTTGTCCCCTAGCAGATATTCAGCTGACAGGATGAAGAGAAATTTCTTCCATGGAAAAAATGGACAAAAGAAATTTAAAATAAATGCTCAATAAATGCATTCCTTCCCTAGTCATATACTTGGAATACAAAAGCTGGCCCCTTCAGCCAGGCTGTGTGGAGCACATTGGGCTCCACAGTGGTAACTTCATCATTCTGCCTTAAAAATTGGTGCTTCTGCACTTGAGAAAGTAAAACAAAATATACAATTCAATGCACAATACACATCTACTTTTTGCAACCAAGGGCAAGTTCACAGAAAACAAAACATCATAGGTCAGTACTAAGGTGCTTAAGCTCACATTACACACTCAGTATCTCCTGCTTTTCCACAAACTTCTTCATATTTGTCTGCTCAAAATGAAAAAAGGATTGAGAGCTGATACACTTCACTCCCACAACAACAGCACCTTCTTCCCATCACAGTTATTAAATTCAAAATACAACCAGCAGCAGCAGCGGGAGGAATGTTTCACTCACTGAGCAACAATATGGCATCTCCAAAATCTTTCAATTCATCAAATGGTCCATTCATTTATCCTGCACCTGCTCAGACTAGAGGGAAAATCTTTCTTTGCCATTGTTCAGTTCAACTCCTTGAAGCAGGAAAGTGAAATGCCTGGGACCTCCAAAAAGTGGCCTGTCAGCAGCTCTGCTGAAGGAAATATCCTGATCCCAGCAATCCTCCGGGGGCTGCTCTTTGAACAGCCCCACACCATCAAACTCACTGGAACCAGGCACTCCAATGGCACCCACAAATCACCTGGGACTAATCATCTGTCAGTACTTGCAAGAAAAAATCATAAGAAAAAATGCTACTTTTCTGTTTCTACTCCCAAATTAAACTGAGAAAGAAGGGGACAACAAAGAAAACATTTCAAATTTAAGAAGCTGACTATATTGAGCACCTTTCCTTTTTTTGAGCATAGCAACAAACAGGTCTACATGGAAAGATCTATGTGGTACTCTTATGAACCTGACAATCTTTTTAATGGAATCTTTTAATTAAGTATCACTATTAGTTGGTCAGGAATCTTTTGCTGTAGAAGCAGTTCCCACCTCAGTGCATTCATTCAACAAATGCAGACACATGCCTTTCTATATCTTGCTTTTCTGTGCTCACTGGAGATCACTTTTGATTTTTGCTCATAGTTAGATCACTGAAAAAAATGATGTGTTTGCAAGGAAGTGAAGCAGGTAACTCACAAGGTGCTCAGCAGCAAAGCCAGTAAACCCAGACAAGAGTAAAAACTTCCCCAGTGATTCCAAATGCCCTCTTTGACTGCTGAATAGATGAACACACATGTAGGGAGAGGTTATGGCAACCAAATTCTGAAGGTTTGCCTCTTCATTTAACATTTCATACCAGACAGAGACATTTAATCTGGTTTTAATACAAGCATATCTTTACAAAAGAATGAGAGAGATGATGCCTTCAAGCACTTGTATTTTGACTTTTTGGGGCTCATTAGTGATTAGGAAAGATGGACAACTCTTCTGGGAATGGAGTTCACCACTACATCCACACCTGCTATTTGTGAAACAGCTTATTTCAGTTTTTAAATCAGAGGATAAGTTCCCAAGGAACAGTATGTTAAACAACAACAGAAAGAAAATCTGATCACATCTTAATTTCCTAAGAAATACAGACTAATTTGAAATAGAGGAGGAATATTTCAGAAATTTATTAATGCCTGTAATGTATAATGGCAACTAAAAGGAAATCCATGCTTCCAAACCCAGGAAGTTACAGAGGCTGGAAAAACAATCTGTTTATAACTGAGTGTGCCTGACACACCTGGCTGGAGAAGGTCCCACCATCTTCCTCCAAGGCCTTTAGCAACACCCCTCAACGAGGTGGGTTTGAAATTGAACCTCAAGGAACACATGAAATTTGAAATTAAGCAATTATGCACACAGCAATAAAGAATTACCATTCCCAACTTAAATCATGCAAACCAATCTCCCAAACCAAAAGGAACAGGTCAGCAGCTGCCAATTCCATCACAGGAATGACAAATCTGCAGTGGTTCACCCTCATTTTTGGTGAACAAAACTTACCTGTGTCCCCATGGCATTTTGGACAATTAGCAAGCAGTGACACTGTGGGAACATGGTTTAAAGTCATATCTTTGAACTGCCTGAGAATCTCTGAAATTGTGATACACTGCCAACAGAGCCTTTCAAAAGATTAAAACAAGCACGTTAAGTTCTCAAGTGATTATGACTGGGTTTGAAACACTGCAGGTCAAAAAAGGACACATTTTTATGTTTCTTCTTTAACAGTCAGAAACTCTCCAACAACATTGAATAAATGTGAAATAAAACCTGGAAACTCCACAGAATAAACCTGAAATAAACAGAAACAACCTGAAATAAAACCTGAAACTCCACAGATTATTAGGATGAAATTAAAGCACGATCCTTTTTTAAAGAAATACAGTTTCAGACAAGTAGAGGCATGTTTATGTGCATGTCAATGAAAACAGCAGTTCAAAGCAGAATTTTTAGTGTAAGAGTTCTGCTGTGCTGCAAGGGGGTAAATGCTCCTAAAAAAGATGGCACCACCCCAGAGAAGTGATAAACTACAGCTACAGTACAATGAAACTGGCAGATAAAGTCATATATGCAGACAATTTGAAGAAGAAAAGCTAACAGCGAAATATATTTGCAAAATTAGCCCTCATTTTCCCATATTATGAAAAATTTGTTAAGTAGCTTCAATTTTTCTACTTGTTTTCCCAGAGGGGAAAAAATGCCTCAGCAGCTTGGAGGTGAAATCTGTAACAACCACAGTAAAAAACTCCACAATAGCTGTTAGTCCAACAGCTGCCACTTCACACTAGAAAAGGCTGATCAAATTCTGACAGTTCTGAGACCTGTAACCTTTTTTTTCCACATTTCTTCCCAGTTTGTTGTCCTCAGAAATCTGTGTTGAGAGACATAACACGAGCAGCTTGGCTCCAGCTGGAATGGCAAGCTGGAGCCAGCATTTCCAAAGATGCTCTCAAATATGCTCATCCACTCATTTCACTTCACAGAGAAAACAAAGAATGCACAAAAAGCCAGGGATGCATTTCTCCACCTATCTGTGATGTGCACAAACAGCTCCATTCCTCTCCACATCCACCTGTAGCAAAGCTGAAATTGTGGCTGCACTTCTGAAGGTCAATTCCTTGGCATGGCTGCAGCACATTCCAGCAGGCTGATATCAACATTCCTTCCTAGAGAGCTGGATGCTGGACTGGTGACTGAAATGAAGGAGGTAGGTGGTGTGTGGAAGCAGAGTTGTTAAACAGCTGGCAACATCTGTGCCCCAGCTACTAGCACACAACATTTACTAACTACAGCCAAAACACTGAGCAATTTTTGGACTTGTAGCAGTTTCAACATCCATTTTATTGGCTCTGATCTGTTTTCAGCAAAACATGGTAGTCACAAGGGGAGACAGTAGAAAATACATTTAAGTAATGCCAGGTATTTAATATTTCTTTTGTAACAAGATTGGGCTTCTGGTAGTCCAGAATGCCTCTGATTTGAAGGAGCAATAGAAATGCATAGAACAGAAAATCCTTGTAACATCTCCTAAGCTTATCCACCCTGTAAACCATAAAATCCTCAACTCACTTCAAGTAATGCTTGGTAATATTAAATACAAACTTCTGCTAATGACAATATTGCAGAAACAGAGTATCATTACCAGTTATATTCCTTAATAACTGTAATTTGACTCCCTGATGTTTTGTTTTCCTGCAATAGTCAGCCAACAGATACACAGCAGCAGGAAGATTTTAATATATGGCAAATAACAAATTGAGAATTCTGAAGAATCACTATGAAAATATGAGTTAACTTCACTAAGAGAATGTGATTTTCTAGTTAACTGCTAGTGATTTTCAAACAACTACACCTGCCTGGATGGAAAAGAAAGACTAACCCATAATTTACTTCAGTACATCATGCTATACATATTTGAGACAGAAGATAGGAAGCTTCTTGGGACAAGAGTAGATTAATTTCTCATTCAGGTACTGGTGGACTCAGATGACTTCAGCCAGCTCAAGCACACACATTCCTCATCCCACAGACTCCCTAGAATGCCCTGTGCAATGTAATGCAAGCCTAGAATACTCAAACTTTGCAAACCATATGGAAGTTTCCTTGGGTTTTGTTTCTTTTTAATTTTAGATATGTAAACAGCCTCACTGACTAACAATATATCACAAAAATCACAACATTTTAACATATGAACAAAAAAAATTTCTTCCATCAAGTTGATAAGGCAAGTGTGGTTTGCAAACTGAAGGATTTCCCTAATTAAAACCTGAAAATGGCTGTAGAGCTCACAAACCTGCTCTCACAACACTTTTTACAAGCACAGACAATCATAATATTCAGTTGAATTGTAGCTGAAAACCAACCCTGTCAGCAGCCTGTTCATCTTACCCTAACCCATAGTTCAGTTCCAATGAACTGAGGGTTCAGAGGGAAAAAAAAAATCAATCTTCAGCTGAAATTACAGGAGATCAGTGAGCCTTGAAGGTCCTGCTCTCCTCGCCTGCTCCCAGCACACGGCCCCACTCCTGTGCTCAGCTGGGCACCTTTGTGAAACCATTCCTGCATATTCAGCTGCATAAGTGAGATCCTTATCTTCGGGTTACTGAGCTCAATGGCTTCACAGAAGATATCCAACAAAGGACAGGAAAAAAAAAATTCAGCTTGGAAGGTGAGACTTCTCCTATTTTACATCAAAAAGCCACTAGATTAGCTCTTAGTTTCTCATCAATACAATTTTCTGAAGAATGTGGGAAAGAGAAATCCTCAAAACACCTAAATACCAACCTTGCCCAGCCCTGTTCACAACAGCTTGTGAAATCTGATATAATCAAAGAATGATGTAAGGCTTTCTACAGGTTGGAATACAACTTTACAGCCATAAATAGTAACCAGCACGTTAAACAAACTCCTTTAAGCAGGTTGTCTTACAGCAAATCAGCAACTCCATTAAAAAGGAAAGGATTTTATTGACAAAACCAAGTTAGACAAAATGCATTAACTTACTGAATCCAGAAAGCAGAGATAGGTTCCTGAGCTCTGAATTACTGCTTGATTTTTAGCAAATCCAACTGTCGAGAAAGCAAAGATAAAAAAATGAAGGAATTTTTACTGTTGCATCTTTTAAAATCTTAATAAAATGGAACAAATGAAAAGAAAATACAAAAATCAGTATCACATAAGGTACCAGATTTTTCCATATTTAAAGCAAGGTAATTTGTGAATATTGAAATAGGAGGCCTATGTCAGTCATCTCCTCTGAGTGAGTACCAGAATTCTACAATCAAGTAGAATAAGAGTACTTTTGCCAGCCCTCCCCAAAGATATAATATGTAATTGTGTATCTTGAACGGGGCAGGTTTTATATCCAGAACCTCAGCTTGTAGAATCACAGAAAGCTTTGGGCTGGAAGGGGCCTTTAAAGGTCATCCAGGCCAACCCCTTGCAAAGAGCAGATGCTGAAAACCCTTCATCTTCATTCATCTTTGAAGCCCTAAAAAATACCAGCAAATCATAAAAGAGGCGGGGAAGGACCAGAAACTACTGTTCTTCCCATCAGGGTTCTCAGAAGGACTAAAAACGTTCTGTTCCTTGGTGCTTGTTAAGTATAAAGTTTGCAAATACAAAACCTTCACATGCCATTCATGTAAAGGGGATGCAGGAGGAGCCAAAGAAGGCTAATTTATTAGAATCATACAGAGAGCACAAAGGTGATTTATTTATAGCACAACATGTTGTATCACCAATGGAGACCACACTAAAATGTCACTTCAGACAAATGACAACATTGGCACCCAGGGTGTCTCAGTTTCTGACTTCCTGGCACTTTTTACCAACCCATTCATTTCAGGAAGAAATGAATGAACCAGAGAAGCAAATTGTTTTGTCAGCTTAATTTCTGAAGTAGATGACTGCTCTGGAGGATCAAACAAATGGCAGAAGCAGATAAATAGGAAAGAGCAGGAATCCACAGCTGAAGGTAAGGATTGGACTGCAGCACCCACTGGGATACACCCACAAGGTGGAATGCTTGCCTGGGATCATTTTTGCAGGTAGCCAAGGTGAACCTAAGAACTTTCTGATCTCTGAATTCTTGCCCTGGGCAGCATTCTAAGAAAACCCCACCCTACATCCAGTGTTAGTCTGAAAAATGCTGCATGGATTCCACTTGGTCACATATGAAACACTTCAGCTTCCTCTGGAGTATTTATGGAATCAAGTCAGGGAATCCAGCAAGATCACCCTGGCCTGCAAAATGAACATTATTGTGAAGAGATGCAATACTGTAGGGTTTTTACTCTTTAGAGGGAAAACTGAAAATGTAGAGCCAAAAAATCTTACCATGAAGTGGAGCAGAATAATTTTAAATAATATTATCCACAAAGTTTCTGTCTTAGCATTTGAAAAAAAGCAGAATTCTGTAATTCTCTTATCCTTTTATGTGTTACAAATTTAAGTTAGCTCAGGAAACAGATTTAACTGGGCTCAAAGGTTCCCTTAGTTGTAATGCACGTGCTCCTTGGCTCTTTTGCTGAGCTGTCCAAGTACAGAAAAAGACTTATGACTGCATTTCTTACTGCCTCAAGGAACATTATGTCAACTACCACCAGAGCAGGACTAATAAAGGCTCCTCCTTATATCTGTGTTATTTTTTCTCATGTACTTTAATCCTCACCTCAACTTCTCTTCATTGTGTGTTTTTTTGGATTTATTATTTTACAGGATGTTTACATTCTGCCTTTTACAGACGTGTGAACGTGGAATCTCCTCTGCACAGTAACTCTCAGTCTCCTTCCCACTGGCAGTAGAAAAGCAGCTGGCAGAGGCAGGAGCTGCCACAGCAGCAGAGCTGGGTCCTGGCACCACAACTGATGCAAGTCAGCAGGCCTGGGCATGCCAAAGCAGCAACCCCCAGTCCTTCACTTACCCCCAGTAAAGCAGGAGGTAAAAGAACAGCACAAAAATGATGACAGAATTAAATTTGCCCAATTTTAAACACATCAGTGCTATCAGAAGCCACAGCAGCTGTAAAGTGGCCTGGACTTACATTTCAGTGCTGTCATTAACACAAGCAAATATTTCAACGACTTTCAATGGAAAATAATTCATTAAGGAAGCAAAACTGTAAGAAAAGAGTGAAGGAGGCTTCAAGGCAACTAGAAGATGGCAATTATATAACTCTATGAACTTCCTGGAGTATTTCAGATCTTATTTTCATATAAACCACTTTAAATAAAATCAAGAAATATCTAGTATTTGTTATGAGAATGAGTTGGAAAATATTTCTTGCTATGTTTAAGACAGAAACATCCTGAGGTTTTTCATATACCAGATACCTTTTAGAGGAAAGAGAGAGAAGAAAATACACACATTTTTTAAATTATTGAGAAGATAAATATAACTCCCCATAGAAGAAACTAGGTATTAAAAATTCTTTCACCACAACAAATTCTGTGTTTGGCATGAGTAAAAAAAATTCTTTAATATTACTCTACTGAACAAAATGAAATGTTTGTGCCAGGTCTCTGAGTTTTGTAAGGCCTGCTTACTTGGTGAAAAGAGCCTGTTACCATGGTTACAGCCGTAAAAACTTAAGCCTCAGTGAGATATTAACATTCCTTACTCTTGGAAAGAAAAAGGTTTCCTTTTTTTAGGCAAGTGACCCTTTCTTTTTTCCAAGGTTCCCCCCCTTTCTTTTACATGTTAGAAAAGAATCAGAAATAAATCCTAATCTTGTGTAAATAGTTGAAGATGTGAAGCCTGACTAGTACATTGTTTCTGTACCAAAGCATCTTCTTTTAAAGGCAAGGCTCCTTCCAGTTGTACCTAGTCCTTAACAAAATGAAAGTAAATCACCAAAAGCAAACAAATGCTATGGATTTCAAGTAACCTGCTTCTAAAATTTAACAACCATGAAGTAAAGATGTCCTTGTTTTAATTGTGACCTGAGAGTGTCTCCTGGCTTTGTTTTTTTAGCAGAACTATGCATTCTACACTATTATTTAAATTATATTTTTAAATAGTGCACAGCCCCTCTCACCCCCAATTTATTGAGATCTGTTCAGTCTCCAGCTACCCCAACACTGACAAATGCATGCTAAACCAAAAAATAATTTAATAATCTGACATATCCCTAATGGCACAGTGGAATTCACAACTGGAACTCAGTTTTAGGTTCAGTTTCCTGAAGTGCAAAGGTGAACAGACATCAGAATTCTAAAATTTAAAAAAAAAAAACCATCCTGCTTGTGTGTTCTGGCAAACTAAAATTAGTTTATACACAATTGATACAACACTCGAGTAAGAACAACATTTTAGACATAGCAAATGTTTATAAAAATGGAAAATATGTTACACAACATGATGGGATTAGTAGAAACATTACTAGCTATCTTAAGTAACAGAATTAACAACTTCTGGGATTATTCTTTGATTTAGGAAATTGCAACCTACTTCATTTCTTGATCAGTTTCTTGATCAGTAAAAGAAGTCAGTTTCGAAAAGAGACTGATCACCCAATAGCAGAGGGGGGACAAAAAAGAAGAAAAAATTTACAGGATTATGAGTAATTCTTGACATTGCTCAACTCCAGCTGTATCAGTTGCCCAAAAGAGAAAAATTCCGTCTAAAAACCTTGTCTGCCTTTTGTCATTACCAGCCCAATAGTTCTAATATTACAAGCTGCACTGTCAAAACAGCACCAGTTCATGCTAAAGGTATTAAAATACTAAAAATATTTATAGTAAGGGTTATGCTGTGTTACTTCAGTATTGCTATGTCTGACAACTATTTAAAAACAGATGTAAAGCCTACAGTCGGGAGAAATGACAGTAAATAAAGCCAGGGGCCTCTCCCAGGTGGCAGATGAATTCAGTGCACAAACTCCCAATTTATTTGCATGTTTCAACAGGGGATGAAAAGCAAACTTTCTGGAACAGAAGTGGGCTTTTGCATAAGAAGATCATCTTGAGGAGACTCTAAAGAGCCTGAGTTTCTTTCCACTTCAAACAGGACGTGCAGTGAAAAAACAGCAACTGTCCAAATTCTGTGTTACAGTGTTCCCAAAGTGTGACTTTTAAGAGATAACTTCAAAGACACAAACTTGGAACCAACAATTCCTACCTGTCTACTCATTAAAACAAAGTCCAGAATGACAGAACCATTGGTTACACAGCTCCAGTACAAACTGTGAGCACATTGTTCTTCCTTTGTGATCTTCCAACTTTACTGTCACTCAACAACAGCTTCTCCAAAAACCAACTGACTTTTATTTCTGTTTTACATTTTAGGAAGATTTTGTGCTAAAACCCCCCAAACATAAACCAACCAAAGCAAGCAAAAGAAAATCTGTTTAAAGAGAGATTTATTTGTAATCTGCTGCAGTGGGAGATAATTCATATTAGCATGCAAATGAATAGGGGATCACATCACACACCTGTCTGACAGCTCACTAAACATATTGGTTTAGCCCTTTGAGTGAATACTTGGGACTTTAGTGAGAGTTTTTAGCTCATATCAAAACTTATAAAACCTCTGTTTTTATTTGATCATTGAAGCAACATCAAAAAGGTATTTATTTTCTATTTCAGGGTCTATTTTACTGGACTGAAAGATATGCATTTACTTTTAAAATCTTTATGCAAGGAATTTTTAATATATTTTTTTCTTAAAACCCATCTCCTGATGATAAATCAGATATCAGAAAACCACAGTAAAATTGTAAGCATTAACAACATTGTGTATACTACAATTAAACAAAATTCTTTTGCTTTTGCAGAGTAGAGCACACAAGTGCTTAGCCAAGTTCTTCTTTCCTTGAACATATAAACAAATTTTACAGAGCCCAAAGCAACAGGGCCAAATTCAAATTGGAATGAGTTTTCAAACAGAGCTCTAGAAAACAATGTGGGTTTTTTCCATTGCAGTGGAAATGACTACAAAGACACTTTTCAAACTCAAAATCAGAAAGTGCCTGCAATAAGAACCAAACTCACAAAATTAAACTACATACCACCTCGAGGCTGAGAGGAATTGTTGGTTCCAATGATTACTGAAACACCAACTTCTTCCAACTTGATCTTCCATTTTTCAATTATTTCAGCTGAACCATCCTAGAAAAAATAATTACATAGATGCAGCTATTTTAATTTGTGTGCTGAAGTCAACCAAAATTTCTTAGAGACAGTATTTTAAAGGAGGTCTGAAACACACCTTACTGGCATCATTAAAAATTGACAGCTCCATGGTTCCTTTAAAATCTTGTTCCCAAACTGACTTCAGGCATTCATCTAACCAGCATTCACTGTTGTGAACAGGCATAATGATAGACTACAAGAAAACAAACAGAGATCCACATGCATGTCAGGAAGCATATTTTTGTTTACTTATAGTATATTTAGTAAAAAGGAGAAGTAGCAGATCCTTCTGAAACTAACTTTCACCAAAAAATGCACCTTAAAAATATAAAAGTAGGTGAGGAACATTTACTTTCTTACAAATATATGATTTGCTTTCTTCTCTATCAACCTTCTTTTTAAATTAAGTTCCACAAGATGGTTTTTGGTGGAAGTCCAAGGAAACAAGAGAGACCACTGAAGCAAACCCACAAAAGAAACATCTGTAACACCACCCTAACCTGTTTCTTGTATTCCTGCATTTCTTGAGACACTCCTCACTTTTGTCCTCCATTAATAATCTTACTCATCAATTTCTCTTCAAGCCTAATTGGAGATGCTCATTTATGCAGCTGGACCCTCAGGGTGCAGCCAAGATTTTAACATTTATTCCACTTCCAACTGCTCTAAAGCACGTTGGAAGTTGATCTGTGATGGAGCTCCACACACTGCCATCCCAGCTTTCCTCCTACAGCCCCTTGCTCCAGAGGGGCACACACAGCAGGAAAACACACCTGAAAGATTTGAAAATTGGTTAGAAACCAGAGAGGAGGGCTTTATCTGTTCAAGTCTAGTTACTCATCACTGATCTAGTTATCTCTAAAAAGCCAACAATCCCCAGAATTCTTTCAGTGTCTCAAAAGAGAGCACATTTCCTTCACAACATGCCTGAGAAATCAGCCTGGTGGTACCCTGGCTGTGTTTGCAAAGGGAGAGCCAAGTCTGAACCTGCTAAAATTACTTTTAGATGGGGAACTTAAGGACCTGAGTAACTCCTAAATAGTCTCATGGGACATTTCAAGAAGTCCCTAGAAACACAACTTAAATTCCTCATTATTTGGGGTAACCACAAATTGGAAGAAAGGAGGATTTGTTCCTATTGTGAGCAGGAGAGAATCCTAAGAAACAAAACATTGGGATACCGAGATGGAATTATTCACAATTTAGGGCCATATACAAGGTGTAAATACAGGTGCACCCATCAGAAAGCAGATTTTTGGACACTGAAGGATGTGCACACAGGTACAACCCAGTCCTGTGTAGGGTACAATGATTAACAACATTTCACAGCCAAATAAAACAGAAAACATCTAAATGAATGAACCTACTGATTTTTGGCAGGATGATGGAACAGTTCTTAAAAGAAGTAGGACAAAAGTTCTCTAAATCTTTAAGCAAAGTAGGCCTTTGATTTGTTTTAGAGAGATAAAACAGGGAGAAACAACAAAAAAGTGAAACTGACTATCCAATAATTACAACATACAGATAAAAAAGATTATTTCAGAACTGTCTCAAACTAGTACTTATTTTAGATACTAAAATAAAAGCAAAAATCTGAGATTCTGAAATACTATATTCAATTTACTCAAGATTTTCGTATTCTTTATATGGACATGGCAATTAAATACGACCCTGCACATTCATACCAATCAATGTACCATATTCATTCACAAAAAAGGGTTCCACAATTCTTCAAATGACAATAAAAACTTGTGCAGTTTTGCACATCCAGAAAAATCAGTTATTTTTCAATTTGTTTTCTGATTCATTCAGTAAAAATTTGACTAAGCCATCACCAACTGGCTTGCCATTGGTTTGAAAACTGGAACTTCTTTGCTTTTTTTCCGTGGTGTACTCCTGTTTTAAGTCAGGGCAGCAGTGTAAAATAGCAAGATGATGTTTGACCTCCCTGTTTAGTTTGAACTGAAAGCAGAAAAAAGTACTTTGAGGGCAGCACATATAAAACAACCCATAAATACCTGATGGCACTGAGGTGCTCTGAATTGAACTGCTCATAATATATTTACATGCTCCTAAACACATTCCTGTGAGCAAATTCTAGTTCCACAGAACCATGCAGAACTGGACACCTGCCAAACTAAGGCCCAGAGCTGAAGTGCTGATGATACTTCTGTGTAAAACCTGAAAAATTAACAAATCCACACAAACAACTGTACTCAGCAATAGGATTAACACCTCAGAGTATTGCTGATGTATCCTAGAGTTTCACCATTTTTGCTCAGCTCACTGGTATTCTGTGTTTAGTTTTAGTTTGAGGATAAATCAACAATCCAGACTTTCATTTCTCCCTCGTTCATTACCAGGTTTGTACCCTGGATTAAGAGTTGCAACTGGGCAGTCATAAATTGGCTTTCAATGTCATGTGGCTGTATCAGAATAATTCAATCTCCTTGGACCATTTAAAGAGGGGAACAACATGAACCAGGGCACTATTTCACTTACAGGTACAGTCTCATGGCAATAATACCTCCAGAGACTGTGTCTGCTTCTCCTGTCCCAAAACAAGATCAGCCACAGCTCTGGCATTGCTGACAAACCCTCTCCAGGGTCAAACACCAACCTTGCTAAGGTACTCACTAAAAGCAGGCATAAAAAAAAACTAGAATGGTTTTTCCAGTGTTTTTTGCTAGTTTATGCCAAGTCTTACTTCCCAATCCCAGCACAGATGATTATTTTAGTTCTCCTTGCTGCAGCCCTTCATGTATTTGATGACTGCTACCAAAACTGAATTACAGAGGTGTTAAGCTCCCTCAAAGTAATTTTGAGTATTTGGGAGATAAATTGCAAACAGCTAATGTGCTGTTGGCATTACAAATCATCTGAGTGATCTGAGTCACCATTACCATTGCATTAGCTGAGGCTGATTTACAGCAGCATCCAACAGAGCCTATGAGCCAAATGTGACTCTTGAAACAGAGCTGTGAATCAAACCTGGACTTGAGCATTGTCACACTACCTGCATTTCCCTGAACCCCACACATTCTACACAAGTATTACGTATATTTCTATATTTAGCATGGTGACCTGTTTTTCCCTGAACTCCACACATTCTAGACAAGTACTATATATATTCCTGTATTTTTATATTTCTATGTATATAGCTATATAGGCACAGATAGAGATAGATGTTGTATATTTAACTTTATTTATGCGTTTTATTTATAGATAAGTGCGCATATCTAAAAATTATATCTATATAATACATATACACTATATATACACACACTATATACACATATATATGCATGTACCTGTACATATATACATATATATATATACATATATATGTGTGTGTGTACGTATATGTACATGAACATATACATATACATGCACATATACGTATGTATATGTACATATGCATATACATAAATATATACATATACTTGTACGGGAAGTAACAGAAACAGGAAGTGTTGTAGGAAGATTTTACGACTTTCGTTGCCAGCCCCGTGTACCCGAACGCGCCGGCACCGAGCCCTCCGGGGCCAGCCCCGGCCCCGTCCGAGCTGCCGTGTCCGCCCCGGGCACCCCCAGCCCCGGGCACCCCGGCCCGGCCCCGCCTGTCACGTACCACCTGCACGGGGGGCTCGGGGCTCCCGCCGGCTCTCCCCGGCTCCGCCATCGCCGCCGCCCCGCAGGGAGGAGCGGGAGGAACAACCACAGAGACGGAGGCTGGAGCGGCCGGAAGAGGCTCTGCTGGCGGCGGCTGCCGAGCCCCGGCTCTGGCCTCGGCCCCGGTCCCAGTCCGTGAGGGCACAACCGGCCCCGGCCCCGGCCCCGGCCCCGGCCCCGGCCCCGGCCCCGGCCCCGGCCCCGGCCCGCGAGGGCACCCGGCCGCGGCCTCGGCCCCGGCTGTGAAGACGCTCGTATGGAAAATCACGCTATGAAAAACCAGTGTCCACAAAACAAACCGAGGAGTCCTGCTACTTTATTCAAATAAAGAGAGAGGCCACATGCCCGCGGGGTTTTCTCTCTCCCTTTTATCCCCAAATCTCGGCCGCTTGTTGCGCTTTGCCTTTTCCAGTGCTGAGGGGTTAGGAAGGTACAGCCGTCCCCAATCGCCTGCCACGTGTTTCCCCCCCACCATAAACATGTCACTTTCCCCAAAGTTTTGAAGTTCGGGCTTGTGCCGACTCTTGTCAGTTTCAGGAGTCAAGTTGAGCTCTGCAGCAAACCTGCTACTTGTTAATAGAGACATCAAGGCTCATTTCAAAGATGTTAACACCCATACTCACTCATACTCACTCATACTCACCTAGTTATCGAATTGTTTGTTAAGACATTAGCACACATTTTCCCTCTCACATTGATTCTTCAATTGATGCTGCCCGCGCTTCCCCAACTGGTCTCTAAGCTCAAACCTGTACATTTTCAGCAGTGTTACAACGCTTTTTCAAAGTTATTTCCCACACTGAGGTATGGTGACAGGTATAACCTGCTTAAACTGAAATTTGTTGAAATTTAAACATATTTTTCGCTTTGGAGTTGATCATTGTACATATTCCTGGAGAATGATTATGGTAATGCTAATGTTCTCTAATCTCTCCAGTCTGGGTTTTTCTTAGCCCAAACTACTGTGTTTGTTTTTTAATAAAAAAGTTTCTAATAACGTTTTAAAAGGAAAAATTGCTGGTGGTAAGGGTGCCATTATCATAGAATCATGGAATGTTAAGGGGTTGGAATGGAATGGACCTTAAAGATCATCCAGTGCCAGCCCCTACCATGGGCAGGGACACCTTCCACTGTCCCAGGCTGCTCCAAGCCCTGTCCAGCCTGGCCTTGGACACTTCAATGGATGGGACAGCCACAGCTTCTCTGGGCAACCTGTGCCAGGGCCTCCCCACCCTCACAGTAAAATATTTGTTCCTGATATCTAACCTGATTTTCCCCTCTTTCAACTTGTACCCATTACTCCTTGTCTTGTCACAGCAGTTCCTGACAAAGACTTCCTCTCCAACTTCCTTGTAGGCCCTTTCAGATACTGGGAGGCGTTTCAAAATATACTGGAATGTATTATTGATCATTTATTAACTGAAATTATGGTTGTGCAACCATTTACTGCCTTGAAAGTATTCACAGCTAAAAGGGATTGCAGCACCAGGCCCTGTACAACAACCTATTCAGAATTTTTAAAATTTGCACAAAGCAATCTTTGTTAAGCAAAATCCTGAGATTATCCCTTGTTTATTTGAAGAGCCTGTTAAACAGCCAGACAATTCAAGGAGCAAACAGAGCAGAGTTATCTTAAAATGTTGGTTGGCACACAAATCTGAGAACTGAGGTGAGGAGAACAGTCAAGCAGTAATTCACCCTCGGAATCTATTTCAAATTATCTGCACAGCTTCTCACCGTCCAGCCCGAGTTTAATCTCTCCATGAGCAGCACTGTTAAATATGATCATTCCTGTTTCTGGCGACAAAGGCTGCTGGCACTGTTATGTTGCCTGCGTGCCTTGCTTTATCTAGGAAAGTGTAGCAGAGTATTGCTTTACTCACCCCGAACCAAACAAAAGTCCCAGTCAGGGACAGCGCCTCATTAAGCGAAACAAAATGCAGACAAAGCCCTTGCTGCCTTCCCTGAGGAAAATACAGAACCAGTCAAACCCACCAGAAATGTTTTCGAAGTTATTTTATGTAGCTGACCACAAAAAGTAATTAAATACAAATTTCTGCTTAGAATGTAATTTTTGTTTGGGGTGGGTTTGGAAAGACATTTAAAGGCCCATAAGCATGTGGAACCTATTCAGCGGGATTGTCAGGGCAACCTAGGCAGCTAACACCCATTGTGAGAGCTCTTACCTACTGGCTTTTGAAATTCCAGCAGGCATTTCTGTGTCCTTGGGCAACTTGGGGAATGAAATAGTTTCCAAAATACAGTCAACTGTTTCATTGCCCGTTCCACTTTCATGTGGGGCAGAATGGAAAACGATCTCCCAACACTGTCACAACAAACTCATTAAAAAGCAAGCAAAGATGGTTTGGTCCTGGTTCTACTTCCAGTTGCTCTATGTTAAAGATGTTTCACAGTGATGGGGGCAGCTCACAAAGCAGTCCTCACAGCTAAAAGCATTGCAAACTCAGACATTGCTTATCAAATTAATGGTTAGCTTTTATTTGTGACAAAATAATCTTTTGAGGAGAATTACTGTGAACCTAAGATTTGCAGTTTCTGGAGGCTTTAGCTATCAAATCGAAATTGTCCTCATCTTAACGGAAAAACATAATATCTAGAAAGTTGTTTTTGATTTTTTTTTTTTTTTTTACATATAACTGTCATTTCTAAAATGACACAGACTCACAGTATGAACAACATGGACATACTGACTTGTGAGGGCAGATCTCAGCTGATTTCACTGGAGTCTAAAAGAAGATAAAGCAAGACTGCTTGTGTAGACTATCAGTGGGGTTATTGAGGCCAAGTAGCCTTGGGTTTAGTTTCTTTTTGAAAAGCTCAAATGGTAACTGGGGTGGTAAAAATGCATCTGTACAAACAAATCTGTTGTGTTGTGGAGCATGTGAGCAACTTAATTTGCTTGTATCTTTATTGGAAAGAGAGAATGAGTGAGTATAGAGTGTTCTTTTAACACGTTTGTCACTGAAGTTACAAGCTCTAGTACTGAAGTATTTCTAGAACTCACTATGTTGAAAGGATCATTTAACAGAGTAAGTAAAAAATTCAGCTCTGAGCAAGTTTTGAAACCACTTCTATTCAAAAAATGCTTTGAGCTTCCAAAAATGCTCTGTTATTTTCATAAAATGTCACAGTTGAGTGGCAAGAGAAGAGAGGGGCAATATTTCTCATTACAGTACAAAACAGCAGAAGGGGACATGAGAAGCTCATCTAGTCCTGGCATCCTGAGACAGGCTCGGCTCACCAACACCTACTGGTTCCATGGGGCTTCATAACATCCTCAGCCACTTCACTGCAGCCCTTGCTCTCTTTGCCCATAGAAAGAATTTCTTAATATCCAGCTTAGATATTGCAGCACTTTCTAAGCCCCCTGAAATTTGGCTGGCTAAGATCTTTTCCCTCTGGCTAAAAGATGCAGACTTCTTTGATCTCCTGAGTTTTAGAGCTGTTGAGGCAGAGCCTATAGCATAACTTATCCCTTTTATACAGATGCTTTTTGCTTGTTCTCTCCCTCCCCCTCCATAGTGTTCAGCTCCCAAGGTACAGCTCCTCACTTTGAATCCTCTTAGTAACAGCATCTTAAAATTTTACCTCAGGCAAGAATTATCCTACTTTGCTCCTAACTTAGTAGATTTGGCACTTTGCATTTTAGACTAGATGTGAAAAGTTTTTCTGGGCCATTAAAAAGAAAACAAGATCCTTACCACCCTACTCTGCTTTTTTGCAGACCTAAAAAAAGATTTTATAATCAAACACCCTGACTAAATACCACCAAGGAGGCCAGTAACCTGCCCAAAGATAAGGCTAGAATCTCTCAGAAAGGACACAGGCCTCCATCCCTTCAGCCTGTATCTCCACCCCAGGAGGCTGCTCAGCCCCGTCCTGCAGGGGTCCCCTGATAGCCCTCTCCCAGTGGCTTTATCCCCTGCAGCTGTGTGCCTTCTCAGCTGCTTTCTTGCTAATGCCTCTGTTAACCCTTTCTTTGCCTGAGGAGGCTTGCAAATTCCATCACAAATCCTTTAGTCCTTCCCCAGCCTGCACGCCCTTTATGAATTTATGATTTTATGAATTTGGAAATTGCTGTTGAGTTTCCCTCCCATCCCACACTCCCGTTGAGGTTATGGACATCTGATTTATTCAGTGATGTTTTCGACCTTTGTTTATTCTCCTGGCTCTGCTCTGCATGCTCTCTGGGCACTTTGCATCTCTGTTGGAGAATAAGCCCCAGCACCAGTCCTGGTGCTCCTGCTGGGGCTGGACCAGAGCAGGATTACTTCTCATGTCTTGCAAGCCATACTCCTGTTTGCACAGCTTAGTGCAGTGTTTGCCTTTTTCACAATGGCTTGACACTGTTAACTCCTAATCAGCTTGTGATCTATTATATCCCCTAGATCTTTTTCTGCATGAGGGAAACAGTATTTTAGCAGTTTTATTCCAGTCAGCCACATGAGAAGAAAATGACTGAAGTAGTGTGAGTGAGATTATCTGCTTTGGGCCTCAATGCCAGGATTGTTTACTGGTTTCCAATTAGTTACATGTGTACACCCTGTTAAAGGAGTTGCACAAGGGCTGCTAATGCCTTCCTTTGGCCTTCAGAGCATTTATGACTAGCAGGGACTAGTACCTAATAGTTATTTGGGCCAATTTCCCTGTGTACTCAAGACTTCAAATGCTCAGCTGAAATTACAGGCCTAATTGCTCTTACAATTTAGACATATTGAGTTTGGGTAACCTCACTGAAAAATGCTGCTGCTCCTTAGAGAAGGAACGTTGTGTGATACATTTCTTTCTCTGAAACATTAGCTGTGCTTAGAAAGGATGTTGCTTGTTTCTTCTTTCTCCTTTTCAAATGAGTCAACCTGAAGAAGCCGGTGGTTGTTTTGATGAGGCAGTAAATACCACAAATATTCTGTTAGCTGCAGTACTGGACTTGGGTAGCTTTGTGGGTGAAATAGAAAGATCCTTTTCATTTCAGTACCAGCCCACACCTCCAAACATACACTCTCCTTGA